TTCTATTTGCTTTATTTATTTAATTTTGTGAAGTACTGTAGCTTTTACAGTTACAAAATTAATACCTTCATTGCTTTTTTTGTGTTGAAATTGAATAATGAGATGATTTTTAACATAAGTCAGGCCCTATAGATGTAGAGCACTTTAGCTATCAGTTTATTTGTTTATTGTTAAGAACAAAGTTACACTATGGGTTATCTGTGCTGTGCCCACTGTAGGTATCAAAACCTGATTTTTAGTATTATAAGCCTCCAGACTTGCTGCTGAGCCACTGGGGAACTTTAGCTATCGCAGTATAATATTCAGTAACAATATTTATGTGCAGATCACAATAATATTAATTTAAATTGTAGCATTCTCAATGGCTCAAAATTGGGTCTCCAGTGTACCACTTAAACAGGTTATTGTCTGATAAATATCTAATATAAATAGTTTGCCAACTAAGTATTCTTATATTGTAATCCAGATGTTCTGATCAGTTCTGATACTGAATAACAGTGACATCAGCAGCAGTGTACAACTCACATTTGCACTTTGAATGCCATTATACACTTTTATTACACAAAAATTGTTTTGGGGGTTGGGATGATATGTCAGATAAGACTCCCTGTGATGTAATATCACCAATATCAAGCCCTTTTTAATTTTTATCTATCACAGAAATGAACAGGAACTATTGTTCTTGATACTGCATATCAATACATGTATGTAGTAACTTATTTAACTTGGTCTTTACGTTTTTAGCTATCTGTTGATCTTCATAAACTAAAAACAAATATCAAGAAACTAGAAATATAATTTTTATTATGAGCAATTGCAAGTAAAATTTATTGTTTACAAAATTTTGTAAAATTGGTAAAAAATTTCAAGTAAGAACTTTAAGATTTGTACATAAGAATGAAAAAAAAAGACATTTGAGATAAGTAACACATAACTGGAATTGATTTTAAAATTATGTAAGTTGCAAACTAAAAATACAATTCTAACACTATATTATTTAAACATACAAAAAAAGACTATGTAACAAGAGGTTTGGGAAAACAAATTGCAAAGTAATAATGAATTCTGCTACGACCGAGCCTGTTCTAATAAATAAATGGACTGAACAAAGAGTGTGATGCACAATGAAACCAATCTTTATTAATTTCAGAAACACAATTTGTGTACTTGCATATGACATGGCAATCAGACTGACGCCACTCCATCCATCAATACGTATTTCCAAACTGACTGATTCACTCAAGATGAAATTCTAGACTGCCTAAATTTCATGCTACTTAGTTTAATCAGTAACATTAGCTGAGCAACATGTGGTATTCATGTAACTAGTCATTCCCATTCAAACATATGGGAGGCTGTGACCTTGAAACCCCACCTGACATATATACCATTGATGGACACTGCTGACTACATTCTTGCACAATGTTCAGCATTACAACTGTTCATCCCATGGGCAGAATAGTGTGACCTTAACAGAATGACAAAGGCAACTAAAATGAAATAAACTTAATGATTTTTACCCATATGTAATGTGAAAATTGCATATTCTATATTGATTCATCTTGTAGCTTTGAATGCCCACCTAACTCCTCCCACAGCTCTGGAGCAAGAAGCACAAAACATGAAGGGTGTCCTAAGCTATATGGCATAGCCCTTCTAATAAGGGAGTACCAAGTGGGACTAAAAATGCTCCAAGAAGGTTGCCCAGGCATGATGGGGGTCTAAAAGTAAGTTTTTAGGGTCATTGAAACCGAATCTGGCATCAGGTTTTGTGTTCCTGGACTCCCTTGGGGACTCCAGAAGTGATAGTTTTAACATTGTATGAATCTCTACATCTTTGTCCAGCTAATACTGTCCACAATTGTGTAGCTAGTAGAACCAAACTTGGCAGGCAGTCTTGGGTGGTCTGGGAATTGTCCTTATCTATATGTTGTCAAGGAGGCTAAAAACATGCCCAGAAGTTCATCTAGGCACGATGGGGGTCAAAGAGTAGATTTTCAGGTTGTTGTACCTAAACCTGTCATTAAATTTTGTATTCCTGAACCCCCTCAGGATACCAAAACTGTGTTCATATCCCCATTCACAAACCAGCAGGACCAAACTTGGCACATGTGCTCAGGTATCATGATGCATGCCCTACTTTTTTTGGGGGGGGGGATAATGTGACTTGGGATAATAGTGGAGTTTGATCAGCATACTGGGGGCCTATCCTGGTGCCTACATTAAAACTAAAAGTTAGAATATACATGTTATGCCTGCATACCACACTATGGAGTAATATTTTGGAAACAGTTTCATATCAACTATTTGTTTGATATTTAAATCAGAATCTATATAACCTTCAACAATATTTAATATTTTTTGAGAGACTAGTACGTGCATATAAAAAAAACGAAAATATATACAAGATCTTGAATTCAACTTGAAGCAGTCTTTACTTATGATACTAATAATCCATTTTCAGCACTGTTAACTATTAATATGCAAAATTTACAATTTAAAATTTGTGAAATAAGATTGTATGGCATTCAAAAATAAGGATAACTCTAGATTTTAGAATAAAACTTACTTCTATACAATACAATATATAAATTAAACAATAATTCTGTTCCTACTGCAGGTCCTACTACAAAAGATTTTTGTTAACATCTGATTGAAAGCATGCTAATGCACTTCATAAAATTTAACTTTAACTTAAAACAAATACCTTCATCATCTTGTGGTCCAGAGATGACATTTGAAAGAGCATCCAAGGCATATCCCACAATTTCAGCATCATTGCGGTCCATTTCAATCACATAAATAAGAGCATCCATTGCCTGGGCTCCCACTTCTACCCTGAATTTCTTAATAGAAATAACAAAAATTATATTGCCCATTATACATACATTATATTTCAAAACATCAATTACATTTTTCATTGAAATACCACAAAATGTGTATAAATGCAAATATTTATGTCCATTTTTAACCCTATGCACATGGGTGGAGGTCTAAGTATGCAAGCCACAATCTCTTACAGGATGCAATTCCACGAGATATTATGTATTTGATATCAGAGTTATCATCTATTCATTTTACCATACTCTGCTGATTTAGCATCAGTTCATTGTAGAGGAAAGTTAATTTCCAGATATGATATATAGGAATAATGAAAAAAAAAACTGTAAATATGCATTATGGAGGATCTAAAGGTTATGCAAATGCAATATACAAACTATACGATGGACAAAAGTATTTATATTTTTCGCATGAATATCACCTTGCACTCCAAGTCTGAGTCAGACTGACATTGTCAATTCACAGACATATCTTAAGTACAAATTCTTTGGTAATTCCTGTCTATATTTATGTACAACAGACTTGTAAATTTCACTAAAAGTCTGCTACATTTCATGTAGATACACATAGTAAATTTATAATTATAATTCAATAACTTCTTTCAGTGTCAAATTGTAGGCCTGGAAGGCAATCCATGAGAAGGTGGAGGAAAACTGACAAAATCTAGGTCATTTAAAAATGGGTTCAGCTGATATAGGAGGAAGGCAAGCAATACTGGGAGCAGGTAGGGTGGGCCCCAGCTCCCAAGGGCCCTCACAACTGAAATTAATAGTATGAAGTATAGATTATAAATTAAACGAAATCAATGGTAAGAAGTATAAACTATAATGAAAGGCAAAAATGAAACAGTCGATATAGTGCAAATGTTAAGAAATTGTGTAGTGAAATAAACATAAGGATGTGATGTCAGGTGTTGAAGAAAAGATATTTAACCTCATTATCAATTAACCCATAAATAGAACCACAGGTAAACCGAAAATAACAGACACTTATTAAGCCTAATCGAACAAGATAGATAACCTAATTATTGATTAACCCACCAGTAGAACTACAGGTAAACCAAAAATAAACATTTGTGAAGCCTAATTGAACAATATATAACAAAAATATCACTAACAACTAAAAGAAAAACTTAACCGATGTATGAGATGTAATGTATGGAAGAAAAAACAATATAGTTAAACTAATGATTGATATACCAGTAAGATGAATTACAGGGAATCCTACAATAACAAAGGCCATGGTAAGTTTAAGTGAATGGTATAGTAGAAAAAATACAATTAAAAACTAATGGCTAACCTAAACTTGACTATGAGTATTAACCAAACTCATGAAACTTATTTTATGGAACCCAAATAATGACAGATAATAATATTAACAATAAGAATATGCAAAAGCCATAACAATATAATGTCTTATCTTTCCAAAGTTGGCGGACTGTATTTCAAATATGTGGTCCTCCAAACTGGAGGCAAGGCCTGACAAAAGTCAATTCAGTGAACCATCAATCTCCTGACAAAAGTAAGGTTGAAAAATCTTCCCACGGAGTATCATGACCTGAAGCCTGTATAAGTGTGCTAATAGAATATATAACCTCCGAAGTGGTAATGTAGAAGTCATAATGCAAAATTAATAACCACACACAACTGTGTTGGCAGAAACCATAAAATGTTGAAAGAAATTAATACAAAGATACAGAAAAATATTAAAATAAAACACTTGAAGAGAGCACAAACTAAATGTTAGAACATGAGTACTGCCAAACGAGAAGTGATAATTCAGTAGAATTGAATAGAGGGAGTCACATGCACCAAGAGAGTATGGCGCACTCTTAGTGGTGGAGACTTGTTGCAATATGATTTGCGTGAGAGATGCATTGGAATCAGTCAATTCCAATTGAGAGGAGATAAATGGCTTGTGGCATGCATAAAAAATGTTTGTTTGCATATAGAAGGCAGCACTGAATGAGAATATCTATATATGTGAGTGGATGTAATGTGCCATATTGGAATTATATCTTTTGAAATACTATATTTTTTTAAACTTACAGTACTTTTGTATGTATCAAGTTCTCTCATGTGCATATTAAATCACATGCTACATTATATAATGTCACTTATGTGCAGCAATTCATTGATTCAGCAATTAAAATGTAAAGCACAACATGAATGGGAGCTTATAACTAAAACCAACATTTGTAACTTAGACAGAAAATATCAGAAGGTTACACTTTCGAAACATTATACAACAAAAGTTCATAAAGTCATGTTTATTACACAGCCTTTTGAAAACAATTTCTAATATTTGTTAACCTGAGCACTTGCATTTATACTGGCAAAATAAATTATGGAAGAAATGAATAATATCACAGTTGTATTGTGTTACTTGAAAATAAAAAAATTCTTGATGCACTTAAATTGTATTAATAAGAAATACAATAACTTAAAGACTATTTGAATTAGATTATATATTTATTAGAGTTATCATCAATGTTTATGACCTACATGAACATAAACCAAGAGTACCTTTTATGTGAAACAGCATATTCCTTGATAAATTGAATAAACAACTTGTTACTTAACCACAGTCTGTAAAATAAGCATACACATGAAATTGTAAAGACTTTTCCCTCATTGACAGAACAGGTGCCAATAATTTTGTTTAAACTATTATGAAGTTTTGTATTGCAGCATCTGGACAATAACATATATTTGTATGAACCTTGGTGCACATGAGCAGCTGCACAATAAGAGTGTGATGTGTGGGTATTTCACACAAAATGCACTTTATGAGTATCTTCTTCCAAGCTGTACCAAATGTTGAACATTTTTCTGCTGGTGCTTATTAATTCTGTTACTGTCTAAATTGTCTCTATCTACTGAAATATCAGAAGCAGCTAACAAATGAATAAGCTATATTATATGTGTGTGCTGCTCAGCCTTACCAATTTTGTTCAATGTAGTATTATAAATCAATTAATAATATAGAACACTCCTGTTTCCTTCTTTTTATATTAAGTATCTTGTATACCACAATAAACAGCAAAACAAGAGATAGTAATATTCCAACTCTTGATGGATTCTTCTTCTAAAAAGTGTTGAATGAACATGGGAATTCCAATAAGTACAAACATGAATTAAAGCAATGAAGATTTATAATAACAGCAGTTTCTAAGCCACATGAAAGATGGTTTAATAACATTATTTTGTTACCATGATATATGATGACAGTTTACACTGATAAATGAAAACACAAAGTATCTTCAGTATCTATTATTACCATACAGTTCTCAAGTTACAAATAAAATAAGTGTTTAAAACTATGATATTAATTTATTTTAATAAAGAAAAAGTAGTATTTTTGCAGATTCAAAAACATTGAAAGAGAAACTTTAGTCTAAATACCTTCAGTGTTTTATAACAAAAAGAGCTAGCAGTTGCTTCAAAGCAAAAGAATAACCAAATTTACTTTAGAGTAATTGGGGTTTTATTTTTTCCAAAAGTGGCTGCCAGCTTTTTTGTCAGGTATAACTAGAAAAAAGATCAATAGATCATAAGTTTATTCTATACATATTTCATTTTTATTTGCCCAACCATAAAAAAATTAGATCTTCAAGATACATTAAATTGACAGAAATTTGAAATTACTTTACATCCTTCAAAAATATGTACTTTCCCCTTTTTATGTACTTAAATTGTGTACTCCAATGAATTTTTACACATACACACACATATATATATATATTTCTAGGATTTTTAAACTAATGCTTAAAGAAATAATATATTTTTGAAACAAGAATCTGGGTGTTTACCTTTGACATGGATTTTAAGGCACGGCAAGCATCTCGACGATCATCTAAGAGAGTTGAAGTCTGGACTCTTTCAACTAACCGTTCAACCTACGGAGATTTATAACAGTCACATATTTTGTTTCAGTATTTTGAGTAGTATTGTATGAGCTAAACTTAATCTACATACACAAGTTAAATGTATATACAATTGTTGAAAAATGTAAACAAATGGAAAGAAAAATTGGCTACAAAGCAATAAGTTGTAATAAATGGGTATTTTTCCAATAGGGAGAATGTGACTATATGAGCCCCTTAACTGTGTATCCATAGTATTCTGTTGTTCATACTTGTGTTAACACACCAGATAGTTTTTCAGACACTTTTATCTCTTATTTGCTAAAGATACTAAAATAAATATGTTTCTCTTGCTTGAAAAGATCTTCATGACTTAATAAATAGGTCAGAACTTGGGAAACACATTTCAATATTTAGAAATGTAAAGTTATACAATCAGGTTACAGAAACTTGAAAAAATTTACATATGTAAGAGAGAAATGCTGATGTTCTAGTAAAAAGAGGAGGAGGATTTAAGTGTGCTTGTTGATAAAAAATTAGCCCTTCAGCTGTGTGTTTAGCTGTGAGGAAAAAAGCAAAAAGAGGTTCTGGGATCTATTTACGAGAATTTTGAATTGAAAAGTAAGAAGTTTATTGTAGCCTTGTGTTAACTTCCAAGAAGCCTTATTTGGAATATTGAGTGAAGTTTATTGAAGGATTTAATTGTTATAATGCATTATTATTAGTCAAATTGAAAAAAATAAAAGAGTATGAACTAGTAAAACTGAAAATACTCCAATGGGTTCTCTGTTATAACATCAAAATCTTGGCTCTTGAATTGCAGTTAATATTAAGTTCTGATCAGAGAAAGATACATGTACCAACTTAAATCAAAACTAAAAATCAAGCTGGTAATTGATATGGCTAATTAAATATACTTTTCTTACTTATATTGATCTGAATCCATTGTTTTTTTCAAGTAGGTACCCCAATATTAACAATAGTTTTGGCTGTTATTCCAGTAATATCTCTTAAGATTTGGCTAGCTTAAGAGATTAAGGTTAGTTCAAAATTCATAAACTATGCTAACAATCTATACAATAAAAATATAATAAGGACCTACTTCTGTTATGATTTGTAAGTAGGTCAAGTAGGTACCCCAATATTAACAATAGCTTTGGCTGTTATTCCAATAATATCTCTTAAGATTTGGCCAGCTTAAGAGATTAAGGTTAGTCCTAAATTCATAAACTATGCTGAACAATCTCTACAATAAAAATATAATAAGGACCTACTTCTGTAATGATTTGTAAAGTAAGACTGTGAAGTTGAAAAATAAATTTAAAAAAAATTAAACATAATTATAGTATACCTGAATGAGCTTGAAATGGCAGATTTTGGCATTTGAATATTTGTGTTGCTTTTACTTTGACTCTCTTCTAATATGACATAAATTAATACATTTCTTTCTACATGCTTTACAAATTTCATCATCTAATAACTGAAGTGATGCTTCACAGTACATTTTGTTTTTATACATTTCTATTATATACATTATTTTCTATCTGTAGGAAAATTTCCATAATGTTTTTATTAAATGACAAATCAACAAACCATAGATCATGGTAACAACCTTTTGTTGCAGGATAACAAGATTCCATTACTTCTCAAATTGAAATCAATATATTTTGTTTCATTTTGTACATTTAACCCAAATGAGATTTTTAAGGGCATATTTCATTGTTATATACATTTTTTTAAGTGAATGTGTTTTTGTATTTATGTACATTCCTACCTTAAAGTTTGTACCCATAATCAAACACAAAACTACATTAGTGTAAAAGTATTATTTCAAACTGTTATAAATTTGGAGTGACAAAAACAGTTACCAAAATCAATATTGAAGTTACTACCCAAGTAGAATCTCACTGATATACATATATATATATATAATTGTTTACTGATACCAATTTCTGCTCAATGAAGCCATTTGAAACACATTAGCAAACATTTATATACATGCATATAAAATCATTATAAAAAGTCATTTTAGCACATTATAAAAGAATTTCATGTAAATTATGATTCTGTTTGAATGTTTGTCTCTTTGTGTATTACTTCTGAATAAACAACCGAAAAAAGGCATCTACTTTTTTTAGGTTTCAAATTATTTTTTAACAGAAAAACATCTCCATACATATCATTTTCATTAAATATCAAAATATTTAAGCAGTATAAGTTGATAAAAGGTTGAAGTATGAAGGTCAAAGGTCATGAAATCTATAGGAGTATATTCAAACAGTGACATAACATTGTGTATGAGGTTTTTATGTTAATTCTGAATACTTAAGAAGTCTTTGCATGTATATGGGTTTGTGTTATTCTTGTTTCATGTTTTTGAATGCATGAAATGAATTTTATTTAATCTGGTGATACCTTATTTCTTATTTTTAGGAATAAGATAATTTTGTATCTTTGGTATAAAGAAGATCATCAGTTAGAATAGTGTTGTACAAACCATAATCAATAAAAAGAACAAGACAAGCACAATAAAAAGTTGGTTATTCAGAGAAACCTTTATGACCTCAAAGGTATCTCCAATGAAACGAAATTCATGCATTATAGAGTATGTAACAAAATAAAACAAAGCATACATACAAAAACATTTCTTAAAAGGTCCAAGTTCACATCTTTTTTCATAATACATTTTTTGACTCTTTATGATCACATGGGCCTTTGATCTCTGTATCTTAACTTTTCCTGAACTTTATTGCTTAAGATATTTTGATATGTCATTAAGTACTGTATGATGATATATTTCTGTTAAAAAATAGTTTTGAACATTCAAAACTGTGGGTTTAGCATAATCGTAAATCATGAGAAAATTTCTGCCTTTTTTCAATATAAGGGTGAATTATATTCTAGAGGTAGGCTTCACTTAAACAGATTAGATAGTAGGATGTTTGGAGAAAGTCTAAGTATATTCATGAAAGATAGTTTAAACTCACATAATAGTGAGGAAGCTTTGATAACTGGGAATAATCAAATTTATTGGATAGCTATGGCAACAAGGAGTTTGGAATTTGGAGATATATAGCACAAGGTAAATAACAGTTTTACAGATAAATGGTCAGACTTAAAGATAAACATAGCACATTAAAGAAACTATTTAGTTGCCATTATTCTAATAGGAATATTATGAACAAAACAGATGAGTTCAGGGTTCTAGTTGGAATAGAAAACTATGGTGATATAATGGGAATCATGAAATTGGTTAGATTTGGAGAATACTATGATTCATTATTTAATAACTTATAACTTTGGTATTAGATTGTCAAGAAAATAATGTATCTTTTTTTAGATGAAAAAGCTTGAACAACAAAACATCAAAATAAAACATTTAATAAATGAAACAGTCTCCATTCTTATCAATGATGCTTTTCCATCTTACAATCAGGATGTTAATGCCCTGATTAAAGAAATCACTTGACTTTGAAGCATGTTGATGTCCTCTTTAACACCTTCCACATTTGCATATGTTTTCCCATTAAGATGGTGTTGCAGCGAACGAAAAAAATGGTAATCTGATGGTGCCATATCTGGAGAATATGGTGGGTGGGGGAGAACTTCCCAACCCAACTCCATAATCTCGTGTTGCATCAAACATGCCACATGTGGGTGCGCATTGTCGTAGAGAAGAACACCTTTCTGATTGATGAGTGAAGGGCGTTTCTGATGAAGGGCTTGATTTAAACATTCCAGTTGCTGACTATAGATTTCTGCATTGACAGTTGCTGTGGATTGAGGAGTTGGGAAATGAATTACTCCTTTGATGTCCCGCCAAATGCAAAGTATCACTTTCTGCGGATGGAGTCCAGGTTTTGGGGTTGGAAGTGGGTTTTTTTAGGACTGTTTGTTTTTGGAGTGTAATATTTGCATAGAGAGTCCATTTTTCATCACTGGTGACAAATCTATCCAAAATGGTTCACGCGCATTACGCGCCAGAAGAGACGAAGCAACGTTCACACGTTGGAAACGATGATCATCGGAGAGTTCGTGAGGCACCCAAACACCTTCTTTATGGAGTTTTCCCATATTCCTTAGATGTTTACGTATTGTTTCATGAGACACATGCCATTTCACGAGTGTGTTGTCTTGAGTTAGACTCAACAAGCGTTTTCAGACCATCGATATCAATCCCAACATGTCGGCCCCTGCCATCACAGTTTTTAAGGCTAAAGTCACCTGAACTAAATTTGCTGAACCATCGTTAACACTTACGAACGTTCAAAACATTTCCACAAACTTCTTTGATATTCTCTGTGGCTACAGAGGCGTTGTTTCCCTTCTTGTATTCAAACAGCATTACATGCCGAATGTGTATCTCGTCGTGTGCCATCACTATAAGGGATTAGAGTATACTGAACTTTACACATTATATAGGCTACACTATCGTGACGATTAGGAGGTACGTTTAACTATTATACATGATGTACTTTTTTTGGGGGGGGTTAATGAAAGTGTTCCA